AATTTCCATGGACTTCATCACGGACCTGCCATCATCAAACTCATTTGACAGCATCTTTGTCGTGGTAGATCGGCTTACAAAAATTACGCTCTTTGTTCCTTGCAAGAAGACATCGTCCAGTGAAGTCACAGCAAGGCTCTTTCTCGATAATGTGTATCGTTATCATGGACTACCAGATGATATCATATCAGATCGAGGAACCCAGTTCGTATCAAAGTTTTGGAGATCTCTCTTTGAGATACTGAAGGTGGATATCAAGCTTTCTTCGGCTTTTCATCCTCAAACTGACGGCCAAACGGAACGGGTGAACCAAGTCTTGGAACAATACTTACGATGCAGCATCAACTATCAGCAAGACGATTGGACCACATATGTGCCGCTAGCCGAGTTTGCATATAACAACACCCTCCATGCGTCGACTCAATACACACCATTCTTTTCCAACTATGGGTACCATCCGAAGCTTGATTTATTGAGTCCATCAACAAATAACAATCCAGCAGCTGAAGGATTTACGAAACAAATATCAGAGCTTCAAAATACATTGAAGCTTCAATTACAATCCGCTGAAGAATCCTACAAGACGTCTGCAGATAGATTTCGGAATCAAGCACCTACTTTCAAAATTAGAGATAAAGCATGGCTTCTTCGACGGAATATCAAGACCAAGCGCCCATGTGATAAGTTGGACTATCGAAGATTGGGACCATTTATAATCCAGAAGCAAATCAATCCAATGGCGTACCGTCTGGAATTACCGGCTTCTATGAAGGTACATCCAGTCTTTCATGTTTCTTTGTTGGAGCCTTATCGAGAGTCATTTTTTCTTGGAAGAGTGCAATATCCGCCACCTAGTATTGTGATCGAGAACCACAAGGAATACGATGATGAAAAGGTACTGGATTCATGGTGAAGGTGGGGCAAGTTGGAGTATCTTGTTCATTGGTGCGGCTACGACATTAATGAGCGAACGTGGGAGCTAGCATAAAATCTCGCCAATGCGCCGCAAAAGGTATATGAGTTTCATCAACAACATCCTCATAAATCTAAACTAGTTCGACGATAGCTTCTTTCTGAAGCTTGCTCACCCAAGAATATAAGAAAGGGGGAGAGCACTACCAAAATTCGTAGTTGATGTAGTTATTTTCTCCAAGATAAAATAGAATTTTTTCAATAGCTATAGTTTGGTCTTTTGATATGGATAGCCAAAAGATAGATACTATGGCAGTCAGATTATCTCAACCAACTAGCTCACGAAGGTGATCCCGAGATGAAGAACTACCTGCACCACGACGACGATGGAGGATACCAAGTAATCGATCACTGGTGATTGTATTTGAGTCCGAGTCTGCTTACGATGGTCAACCAGAAGGCATATTTGCAGGAAAATTTCCCAATGAAGACACGGAAGTTCATGCTTGGTCAGAAGTTAAAGGAATGGGCCACTACTGTTGGCTTCAAGGGCCGATGAACCACTTACCTCGTGAACAACAGTTGGAGTTCATAGCAGACGTTATGCGGCAGATCTTCATTTTCTTACGTTGGTACTGATTGACAACAACATTGCTTCTCAGAGACCTCGAAGCTAAAGAAGGGGGTGATGTTAGGGACATAGTCCTTAGAACCTTCTAGAGACAAGTTTCTAGAACCCTCTAGAAACAAGCTTCTAGAACCTTCTAGAAACTTCTTAGTTGGTAGAAGATGTTAGGGACATAGTCCTTAGAACCTTCTAGAGATAAGTTTCTAGAACCTTCTAGAAGCAAGTCTTTGGAACCTTTTAGAAGCTTCCTAGTTGGTAGAAGTTGCTTAAGAAGCTTCCTAAATAGGAGTATATATTGGAATCAAGGCTGAAGAGTTCTTCAGTCTCGACAACACATCTCTTGGAGGTCTAGCTCACTTCTCTGGTGTTCTTCTTGTATTCATCTGATTAATCTAGTTCTTGCCAGTTCTTCTTGAACTTCTTGTTAGATCTCAAGTCTGTATTTCTGTGTCTGTGACAAAGGGATAGAGTTGGAGGAAGAAGGGAGGGGTTGGAACAAAGATGGAAGTTGGAAACGGAAAGGTCAAGATGAGGATTGGAGGAACTTGGAATAAGAAGACATGAGAAATATGGATAGATGATAAGAGAGTTTTATTGTAATGCAACAATATGGTATAAGAGAAATATGAATTCTATCATACAAGAGCTTAATTAAAAAAATATAGTATTAAAATATATGTAAAAATATAAGGAGGTAGTAAAATATTTAATATTAATATTATCTATTGTAAAAATAGAAAAAAATCTACTTACATTGTATTATTATAAATAAGAGAAAAAATAGATTAAAAAAATTAATAATGAAGATATCTTTAAAAAATAGTTAAGAATAGTTTGTAATAAAAGTTAGCTTACAAATATAGGAATTGATATTAAGAGATGATTAGTTATAAACTAAGGTCAATATCAAAGCTTGAGGCTCAAAACTGTGCACCTACAACTATTCTAAGAAGCTTTTATTGATTAGAGAGCAAGGATTTTGAGGAATAAAATGAGATTTATAAATATACTTGTTTTAAAGATATTTTTTAAATATATGATCAATCAAACCGTTAAATTAAAGAGCATTGAAATTTGATTGAATTAGAATCTCAAATATTTGATTTTTAGGATTAGTAAGAGTTTCTATAATCTTAAGCAAAATGCTAATTCAATTGAAGCAAAAATTTATAGAAGCATAGCAAGCTTAGTTTTTAACAATTTTTCTAATTTGGAGAATAATTGAACAATTCAATAAGAAGTAATTGCTGCAAGAAGATCAAAAAAAAAGTTGGATAAGAAAGATGGCTGACATCCAAGATATTTTGGGTTTTTTTTTTTTTTTTTTTTTTTTTTAATTAACATGTTCAATTTTTCTCAAACTTTGTGTACTTATTATTTGCTTGAAGATTGACTTGTATACAAAGTTTTAGTCAAGATTAAAAATTTAATTAATAGTTGTTGAGATTTTAAGATTGTTATAAGGGTTTGATTTACTTAGGATTTGATTAGACATTGATTAGAATTTGTTTAGAAATTTTTTAGAATTCATTTAGGATTTGATTAAAATTTAATTAAGATTTGATCAAAATTTCATTAGGATTTAGTTGGAATTTTTTTAGGATTTTTTTAGGATTTTTTTTATAAATATATATATATATATATATATATATATATATTTAATAATTTCTTTACAAATTCTTTTGGATTTCTTTACAATTCTTTAAGAATTTCTATAAGATTTCTTTAGAATTGATTTAGATTTAATTAGGATTTATTTAAGATTTTGTCAGAATTATTAAGACCTTTGTTTGTTGCAATTTCCAATTTACCTTCCACAATTAAGTGTCCAATGCATTCTTAAGTAAGGCAACATATTATACAACAATATGGAACATAAAAAAACAAGGGGGTTGAGTCAAGGGGGATATTGGATTTGAATTTAATTAAATCAAGAAAAGAAAAGAAAAGAAAAAAAAAACAAACAAACAAACAAACAAACAAACAAAAAGAAAGAAAATATGAATGTCACAAGCAATTAGGTTGTCAATGGGCATCATTAATTAGATAACAAACAATATAGATGTCAATAAACATCATCAATTGAATAAAAAGTAGATAGATCATAGCTTTATTAATTGGATAAAAAATAATGCAAATATCTTATAATGCAATAATAAATATATTTTAATATATTATTTTTTAATGCCACTTATAATGATTGTGTATATTTCCAATTATATTTTTAAATATTAAAAACATACAATAATTTGTATGTTTATTATTGTTATTATTATAATTACATATATATATATATATATATATATATATATTGTATCATTTATATATTATTAGTCAATTAAAATAAAATCAATAATTATTTATAACATATTTTATAGTAATTTTATTGCATGCATGTAAAATAAAAGATATACATTAATGTTTATGATTAATTTTATAAAAATAAAATTACAAAACATTTAATCATCTTCTCTAAAAACAAAAAAAGTAGCATGACTTCTCATGGAATAATGTGATGTGATTCCTTAGAAGTGTCAATGTTTGAGAAGAGCTTAATTCCTTCTAATTTATTGCAGGAAGACAAGAAGTTACCTTATCAACATCTATCCAAGAACAAGTGTATGGCAATATGATTTTCACTTGTGCAAAATAGAATACCATTAAAGAAATTAAACCATTAGTAAGATAAAAATGGTCAGAAATAAATCTTTGGGGTTGTGTGATACTGGTAGTTTTAGAAAAATCATATGGAACATGCAATATGTAATTTTTTTACTAATATTTTACAAATTAATGAAGACATCATTGCCTAAAAATCGCAAGACATTTTCTTCACTATATTATGTATATTTTCAAAAAAAATTGGCACATACAATATCAAAAGCTATTATAAAAATCATCATTTCATATATAAAAAAGAGGCACCAATGTTCTATTTATTTTATAGTATTTGTAAAGGAAACTTTTGACAAATGAGTGTAATATTTCATGATTATTGGACGTAAATGAACGTCATCATTGTAATAACTTTGCATAATCAATGTAATTTATAACCTTTTTTTAATTGCATAATAAACATTTTGAATACAATTATGGTACCTCCCACTCCCTAGCACTATTTTAAAGAACCAATGACAACAACAATAAAAGAGCATATTCAACAAGTGACAATACCAATCATTTTGCACACATATCAATTGCATCAGCACTAAAATCACTAAAAATATATCTTTTTAATCTTCAAGTTACTTCCCATTTAAATCACTGGCACAACTCATTGTATTAACACCCTAAACATTTAAGCTACAAACACCAACAACACATAAATTCCATCAAAACCCTAATAGAAATCAATAATTGGAATTAATTACCAATATTTTATTTGTTAATTTTAGACAAAGTGAGGGGATGGAGCTGAGTAGTCACAAAAAATGGGTGGAAAAAGACAACGTTGAATGGGGATTGCCCGAATAAAAGCGCGAGTCCATGTTGGAAGCGGCCGGATCGGGGTTTGTCGCGATGCCGTTCGCAGGGATTCACGATCGGCGAGGGACGCGTGCATCTGCACTTTGTCCGTGACGAGAGCTTCTAAACGATGTATTGGACCCGCATGTGTGTTTGAAATTGTCATGCATCGCTATGGCTTTAATGCCCTGCCATTGAGCTCCAAACCTACATTTGCTCTTGCGATGCTGATGAGGATGCAGGCGGTGGCTATGGCGATGGCGGTGTTGGCGATTTGGGTCGCGCTTTTTGGAGCAGGGATTGCATCGGGAGTTTCCCTGGGAGACGGGGACGCAGGAGGCACAATTGGGTTTTCCACACTGGGTCGATTGAGTTTCGCTTTCGATGTGTACACGGTCGTGTTTTCGCAGATGGGAGTGCTGCGGGGCGGTGGTGGTGGAGTTGGGGATTTTCAGGAGACGCGTGTGACGTTGGGAGAGTCGGTGAACTACAACGCGCAGCTGGTGGAGTCCACTTGGGGGTCTGCAGTCGTGGAGAGGTTGAGGCGCAACGGGCACAAGCTGGAAGGGTCGGGATCGGATGTGCCGGAGTTGCTTTTGTACGTATCAGAAGTTGAAGGCAGCCCGCAATTGTATCTTGACGTTCCGTTGACAGGTAGATTTGCAATCGTCGTGAAATTCTTGGCTAAATTGGTGTCGTCCCATTCATCTGTGTCCAGAATTGCATTGTCTTCGCAGCGTGCGTAATTTCCATGTTCCAGTTCACATACTCCGAACTCCAGCTGCAGCCTGTGTACTTGGATTTCGGAAGAAGGTTCTGATCGGTTGCCCCCAAATGGTGGATGAGCTTCACAACTTTTGCATACTCTATTTTATTTTGTTTTATGATTTGTTAAACATATAGATATCTTACTTATGTTGTCTCGACGATTTGTATCTCTCTCGACAGAAAAAGGTGTGGATTGCAACTCTGCTTTTTTTTCGTACTCTTTTGAATCCAGTTTCCAGGAATTCGGCATTTCTGTTTATTACGATTATTTTTTTCCAGAGCTCTGACCTACTTTCTCGTCATTTACTGCCCACGCACTCAGTTTGAGAAGTCAGACTAGGACATAGCGAATAAACCTCAGATGTGTTCGCAATGAAACTTAACGGCATCTAAATTTTACCTATGTCTGAAACTGTAAATTGCAGTTATTGGTCTCCCATTGTTACTACCTCTCTTTGCCACTATTTTCTTGGTGACATACCCTATCCTGTGGTCTTGGCGTCACCATGAAGTGATGTGTTGCTTGGAAAATTCAGCCGAAATGTTGGGTTTGTTGCAGCTTACGGATATGGCAATATTTAGCACTATTTGATTTTTAGGCTTTGTTATTTGCATTTTGAAACCATTTTCTTCATGTGATTACCGCTGTCACATGTGATTGTGTAGTTTTATCTGAATTTTGGTGAGGTCTTCAGCATAGAAGATTTACGTTCTAATGATCTAAAGGTTTTGGATGATTACGTGTGCGATTGATGTCGACCCAATGTTAAAAGCATATGCGAGTTTTGGCATATCTGAGCACATCCCGGGTTCTCACCAGTGGTTCTGATCACCATCCGAGAACTTCGAACCCTGAGCTTGTAGATCTGGATTTCTGAGTGCACTCCTATCATCAGCCCGAAATTTACTGGAATATTATACTTTGAAGGGGTAGATTACTAAGATGTCCCAGTGGAACTCGGTCTATCTGCTTCGTCTATCTGGGTGCGTGATAGAGCAACCAGTTTATTTGTCCAAACGTCTATTAGAACTTTTGTGATGTAGTGGGCGAAGGTCTATGTTGATTGGTGCGATCCTTTGATGTGGTATATCTTTTTATTTCGTTGTAAAATGGATGGTCTCATTGATCTCATTTCTTGTTTGGAGCGAACAGGTTCTGAAGAGGATCGCCTTCCGACAAGAAGCTCGCGGCGCATTGAGTTACTAGCAGACAGACTGAATGCTCCCTCGAAGGCTTTTCTCAATGACAGGCCATCAATGATCGGAGACGTGTTTATATTCGTCTCTACCGAAGAAGATGTTGGAAAGCCTGTCCAGGGTTGGAACGCCGTTTATTCCTTGAATTTTATAACCTCTGTCGTCAAACGCTTGACTCCGCCAGGGATCACTGACTACAGCCCTGCTGTCTCTCCTTCTGGTAATGATCCAGCTTTGCATGCGATAAACTCAATCCACTGTTACGACGTTTTTGAAATTCTTGTTTTCGACATCAATTTGCGAGAATGTCTGAGATCGCTTTGCAAAGATGTTGATTTCAGCTGATCCAGTTTGTCTGTGTAGGTGAGTGGGTTGCAGTGGGTTCCAATGAAGGACGGGGCTGGCAACGAGAGATCGAAGCATTAAATTTGGATCTCTATATTTTCAAAGCAGAAGACGGCTCTCAAAGACGAATGATAGTAAGAAATGGAGGTTGGCCTACCTGGATGGACGACAACACCGTATACTTCCACCGCATTGCGGATGATGGATGGTGGAGCATATTCAAAGTTAATGTGTCGGATACAAGTGCGGATCAAGGTCGGCTCCTCACCTATTGCTTCTTGTATAGACCTAAATCTGATGTTCACCTGATCGCAGCAGAAGATTAGCTCACCATCATCACTTTGTAATTCTTGTCGCCTGATACAGATTAATTGAAATTGTAACGGTTAGGATTTAGGCTGTTGCTAAATGTTTGGTATTCGTTCAAGTTGTGAAATGGTGCGAAGTTATTGAGAGGATTCCTGTCTTGATTTGTTGGCGGTGACTCGTCAGATTCCAATTTGGTAGGCTCTAACTTGTCCTTGTGTTTTCGGAAACTATGCAGTAGCCGAGAGAGTAACACCCTCAGGAGTGCATGCCTTCACTCCTGCAGCTTCAAGGTCCGGAAAGTGGATTGCAGTTGCTACCCGGCGTGCGTCGTTTCGGCACATTGAAATATTTGAACTGGAATCAAAGAAGTTTTTCCCACTGACAGCTCTCATCAACCCTAATACGCATCACTACAACCCCTTCGTGTCTCCTAGCTCAAATAAAATTGGATATCATAGATGCAGAGGCCTTGATCAGGACGCTCAGACTGTAGACCCTCAAATTGAGTATCAGAAATCACCTCTCCCAGGTGTCTCCCTGGCCCGAATAAAAGGTAGTTTCCCCTCCATTTCTCCAGATGGGTCGCTCGTTTCCTTTGTTGACAGCGGGAATGACTCCTCAACCTTGGCTGTGATGAAGCTGGACGGTTCGGAGAATCGTGTAATCCACCGGAGTAATGTCTTTGGAGAGAGATGGGATCCCAAAGGGAAGACAATATATGCATCACAGGGGCGAGTCTTTGCCTCCGTAAAAACTGTAGTACGCATAGTTGCAATCCAAGATTCTGACACTGCAGACCTTGGCGCTGATGAGACAAGCCACAACTACAAATACTTGACAAAAGAAGGTACAGGAAACAACGCGTTCCCATGTCCTTCACCTGATGGCAAGTATGTCGTATTCCGCTCTGGACGGACAGGGCGCAAGAATCTTTACATCATGGATGCTGCTGGAGGCGAAGAGAAGTATTTGCGACGACTCACTGAAGGGCGTTGGAGGGATACTATGCCAGCTTGGTCACCCGACAATGAATGGATTGCATTCTCGTCCAACCGGGCGCATCCAACTGGTACATAATGAACACCAACTGATCCCTGCTGCTTTGTGCTCTCTGTTGTTCTAAATCTTTATTTTTTTGTTTTTTGCTTGCTTTCCAATGAAGCACGGTGTCGAGGTCTGAGGGCACCCAGAAGCACATGTTACTAAGATTTTTCTAAAATTGTATTCTATCAATTAAAATCCTCGTAACTGGAGCTGGCATACTGATTCATTTCTATCTTGTCTCTGAAAGTCTATCTCACATATATAGAAGATGTTTTTAGATTGCTCTGTCATGTCTGGAAACTTACTTGGGAATGCTAATGATTGAGCGAATGAACTGGTGCAGGTGAGAGATCGTTTTCTTTGTATCTCATCCGACCCAATGGAACGGACCTTCATATGCTGCTGGACACTGGAGTAGGGGGACTTGCCATGCACGCTGTTTTCAGCCCTGATAGTAAGAGAATCGCCTTTACGAGCAACTGGGCTGGTGTCTCAGCTGAGCCTATCTCTTTCCCCCACGCGTACCAACCGTATGGGACCATTTTCGTTATCAATATTGATGGTACTGGGCTCACCAGGTTGACACACAACGCTTACGAAGACGGGACTCCGACATGGGGACGGCTACCTTTACCAAAGCCAGCTATTTCATCTGACGGTAGGAGGAGTTCGTGCGATTTTGATGATGTCTCGTTTCTAAGCCCGCCAGGACTCCAAACAAAGAAGCCTCGTGGTCAATGTCCATACAGCTTGGGCACCTATGTTAATGCAGCAGCTCATGTGACAAGTGGTTACCTTTAATCGAGAGAATCCCTGTGCAAGCATGATGGCAAAGCAATACTTTCGATTTCTCGAAAAGGTTCATTAGTTTGTGTTCTAGAGTTCCTGGAGCGCTTTTCGTTTGGACTAGATGCGAGAAGTTTAAAAAAATCCATGTTGTATATACATGAAACATAGAGGATTGAGTGGAGTAAGCAAGGAAGAGAATTTATTACTGCCAATCCAGTCATGAGTGTCTGTTTCGTAGTTGTTCATTGTACATGATTAGTAACAAAAGGGAAATGGTTCACAGCAGAGTGGGCAATTACATGCTTTTTATTATGGTGTATATATATAGATATATATATAAAATATCATACTTTTCAAACCCAAAAACCAGTCTGATATAGTTGCTGACTGCATTTTAAGTTCTATATGTCAACGTGATACAAGCATTTTCAAATTCTTTTTCTGGCAGTGATGTGTTCATGAATAATGGGAAGATTATATGAATGTATACCCTCACATATCTCTACACACTGCTTGTATTTTCTAAATATGGTATTATAAAACTGTTCTTTGTCTGAATTGTAAACGAGTGTCTCGTTTGTTTGCACATGTGACTCACTGGGAATTCCCATCTAACTCTCAATTTAGAAAAAGTCCTAACTAAAAAAATTGTTGTACGGTAACTGTTCATTTCTATGAGTGTGGGATGTACTTGATTCGATTCTGAAATTTGCATTCATCTTTAGAATTGTAATAAATACAAAATATGATTACACCATGTGTAATAATATATCTTTCACATTTTTTTATATGTTGTGTTAAATCATGATTTAACAAAACAAAAAGGTTAGTTACAATCCTCATTAATTGTAGATTACATCACTAATCGGGATACAATGCTTACTACCAAATTACAAAAGACTATAGACTGCTTACAAATGTGAATAAGAAGTGAGCCATGCCATGAGCTTTGATGCAAAACTGGGGAGATTATGCTATGAGAGCTACAGTCAAGAACTAGTGTCTTAGATAGACAAGCTTTTCTTCACACATTGCATTGCTACTTTGTGTCCTTCACTTGAAATTTTAAGCCAATTATCTTGGCAAGGTAGTATTTGATTTGTGGCTTGGCTACCAACTACTATGTGTATTATGTTCAAAAACCTTGAGAAGATGTTCAATTGCAACAACTGCACAAGTTTGTAACCAAGGCAACACTGCTATTGAAGTGCACATGCCTGCAGTGCTTTATGAGAAGACAGACCAAAAGATAACAATTAATGGAGATATTGTATTTGATTCAACAACTAAATGTTACACCTTTGCAATTCCAATCAAATTATTCTAAACCCAATGCCTATATTGTTGTGAATAAGGTTTTCATTCCTTTAGATAGGCTAGCAAGTATATAGTCGGCTTTAGAAGTTGGCAAGAATTGAAGATCTGCAAAAAGCCAAGCATTGTTGTGCTTTGTAGTAGTGGAACAACACCAAATCCTTTGTCAGTAGACTAATTGTCAAGTTGTTAATTATACAATAGAATTTTGCAGGAGGTCGGGAAGGCGTGGGAACAAGGGGTGGAGATGGAGGATAGGGATTGGGAATGAGGTTGGAAACAAGGAACAAGTATAGAATGAATCATAAGATGTGGCTTTAACAAAATTGGAATATGGCTTCATTAACTCCATATATATATATATATATATATATAATTTTATTGTTGAATGTTATTAAAAATAACTAGAACTTGTTGATAGACAAATATATGATAGGCAAGTATAGAATTCAATAACATGGATGATTAAGTTTTAATTTAATAACAACCAATTTAATCAATGTTTGACAAACATGTAAATATTGTTTGTAAGGATTGTTCACTATTCATATCAATGTAATTGTTGATGTCCATAACAATAAATAAATATATATATATATATAGTTAATGAAGAAAAATAAAATAAAAATTACACTTGTCACTGAATGCTACAATTTTCTCAGTAACTAATTGATGTATTTTAGTTAAATCTTCGCATCATATGAAATCATCTTCGTATGGAGCATACGAGGTTGATTTGATCACCACTCGAGCTCTGAATTCGGCACTAAGCAGGAACACACAGAAGAAGGATGTTGAGGTTTCGCTAATTAGATTGTGGTACAGCGTTCGAAATACATGTATTCCATTCACTGCGTGTGAGGTAGGACTGCGGGAAGCCTTTACGTGTCGAATGTCTGAGCGAAAATAATCAAGTTCTCAAGGACGCACATCACTGCAAGTGGGTTTGAAGAAGGCTAATGCACAACGCGGGAGAATTTCGTGTCTAAGAATTTCTATCATAAAGAGAGCAATACTAGCATGAACTAGATAGTTACTTGAAGAGATCTCCTCAGCAGGCTCGCGCTGGTGATTGTCCATGGCTAACCCATTCAATAACAATAGTTTGCTTCGAAAATTCTGCTACACGCAATATGCAATCGTGTCTCCAGCCGCGTCGTCCCCAGCAATGTTTAGATCTAAAATTAGTGGTTGGGCTACAAGCAGACCTCGCGTGGCGTTGTATGCCATGTTCAATATTTGTTTGTTGAAACCAAATCTGATTCACAACGCGCTAAACAAGAGTCATAACTCATTTCATATCTGCTTGGCGGATGCCTAAAACAGAGGAAGCTAGGAAGTCTGATGAATCCTGGCGTAAAGCCGAATCAAGATACTCTCAACCCTCCAACCTGAACATCAAAATGTAAACAACGCATCAGACAGAAAACAATAGATTCAAGAGAGCAAACAAACAGATCACTCATGCAGCGGCATAAAATTTCGATATAGTTATTATCACACATAAAAATTGCTAATTGCTAATTAGTAGCTTCAAGAGCACCACATCATGAAATAATAAAATCCCGAGTTTTCACCATCAGTTTCGCCATGTTTGCAACTCACGTGTTCGTTCCACAAACAGAAAAGCCGTCAAAGAGTGCCGAAAATTGCATAAATGAAAGTTGAGTATCCGTCATCAATCACTGGAGTCGTAAGCGAAGTTTACCTCGATCAAGTAAAAACATGTCCTTTCGACTCCGAACGAGAAAGAGAGGTCGCAGAGACCAGCAAAAGTTTATGAGTTGACAGAAGAAGAGTCGATATTTCTGCAGTAAGGGTTGTCTGTTGTTCCAGGCCTATCTATTCTTCCCAGCAAAAAATAGCAGCCTTAACCTTCAGTGTAAAAACTTGTTCTAAGAATATTTGGAGCTATCCTCAAACTCAAGCTCATCTAGCAGTCATTGCATTGAACATGCTGCTAGGCTTTAGTATTGGCTTCATACGCGTGATAAGCTTAAAAGTTTCCTCGGCCTCCACTAGACGCTGAGGATCACCTTGGGCAATGGCTGAGGTCCTATCAGGATGAAATCTGAGAAGAGCCTTCTTGTATGCAGCATTGACCTGCCACAGTCAATCAGTGTTTTAATCCCCATTAATAATACATAGCATGAATGTATCTAAAGAAATTGAGTTGCATAATCATCTTCCCGATACGGAGGATGAGTATCTTTTAAGAAGCTCTAGGTATGTCTCCAATGAGTTAGGAGAAAGAACAAAAGGGACCTACTTCGAGTGAAAAAGTGTCCACATCTAACTAACCACAGATTTTCATGATCGGCACAAAATCACGGATCTTACCTGTTGTTGGGTTGGAAATTTACCACCTTCGACAGGAATCTGGAGGCGACGAAGCAATGAAGCCATGTCTCTGCACTCTGAAGCCAGGCGCTCAAGATTAGCCTGCACCTGGCCACGCAGCTGGTCTTTCATTCCCATATTTCTTTCTTCCTGCTCCAACAAACAAATGGTTATTAAAACCAGCATTATCCTTTTAACTGCGGCCAGCCACCACGAAGGAAAACAGTTGAACATCCAACCATAGAAAGAATTATGAAACATGGAGTTTAACGAAACATGCTTCACAAATGAAAATGTGTCCAAGGACTCTGTAAGACGTTTGTATATGAAACTCAACTGCTTCTGCTTTAGATCAGATAGACTATATGATTACATCATAACTTAATGTTCAACAGCAACGGTACGATATGACTACACATACCCTCTGCTGCGTCTGTCGAATCTCCTCGAGCCTTTGCTTTTGCCGGAGTTCAACCTCGTTATTTCGCTCTGTTTCAGCCCTCTTTCGTTCCCGCAGTTTTCGAGCCTCCAAAGCCTACATGCTTCACGCATTACTTTAGACACTGCAACAACTTGCGAAGAAGACTTTCACCTTCACCACGTGGAAGGATAATGAAGGGCAAGAGGAATTATGGAGCACAATTGACATAGCAGCCATATGATGCCGAGGAAATCAAGGCTACTTGACCTACCAACCCGAATCACCACCACAGCTATCCATAGTTTATTTCATTCCACCTTCTTTCAACATACCAAGAATGCTCCAGAAATAGAGAGGGAATCTGTGGCACAATCTAGTACTGACCTGTTTCTGCAACTCCTGCTGTCGATTTGCCCACTCTTCTTCATCCGCCAGCTTAAAATCAGCAGTTTGTTTCAACTTCTCTCGCTCTCCCACCAAGTCTTGCCCTACGACAACATCAGAGACGGGTTCCAGAATACCGGAATCTGGGGAGCTTTGGTTATCAACGTCCATGGGTCTTAAGCTAGTTGTGTCTTGTGCCACTTGCCCACTCGTGCTTGCTCCATCATTCCCGTTACCATGAATTTTAGATAGTTTCACACGAGCATCATGGGCATCATCTTCTCGTTCAATCCGTCTCTTGGAGCCCTTTTTCCCATCCATTAAACCCGAATCCCTGGCAGCATGCATATTAGAAATCAGGGGATCCTCGATATTGCGAAAAACTGAATTACTTGAAGAGTCATGTAATCCTCGGTCATCTGTTGCAGAGACGGGGTCGCTTTTCTTTGCAGAAGCAGGTGTTTTTGCTGCAGAGGCAGGAGGAGCAGACTTTCTGCTTGCAGATGCAACTTCGCCATGTTCTGCATTCTCAAGTTCACTGGGTTCCACTTCTGTGACCTGGACCACTGAATCTGAAGATGAAGATGACAGATTCTGAAAGCAAAAGCTTCGCGCAGGACTGACATTCGCATTCGATTGTACCGTCTCCGCTGCTCCTGAGTCTCCTCCTAAGGTTACGGATGAGTCAGTTTCTCTTCGAAGCCCTGCTGATTGAGGTGGCTGAGGTTCCCAACCATTTATGCCAACTTTAGACCCCTCGCTCCGCATGGGAGGGCACGTCCGGCGACGAAGAGTAGCTGCCTCCCACTGCCTGCGAAGATTTTGTTGAGAATCTTCAACGATGTCTGGTGCCGAAAAACTATTTCTTGTTTTCCTATTCCTGGACCTTTTCGCGCATGATTTGACTTCCCAAGCAGACCACGAAGAACATCGAGTTTTATTAGATACGGCAGGTGAGACCATTCCCCTCGGTGGTGGCTGCGACCCCACTACCAAACAATCATCGTCTTCGGTTTCATCGCTACTGTATATCGTCTCGCAACTGGAATACCCCGAGGAGTTTGCGTCGGAAGAGTTCATGACGCTGACCAAGAATGTGTACCTCATACAAGGAGTCCCTCAGCGAGTGTGCACTGCAAACTGAAAAACATTGAGAACCGTGAAAAAGAGATAATGAAGATATAAGGAAACTAACCCAAGAAAAAATACGAGCAAACCAGCTCAACTACAAAATCCAAGGAAAGATAACCCATACGGATGAGGAAAAGGCATTTAACTCCAAATATCGCACCTATCGTTGCTGATGGATGCTCAAGGTTATCGACGATGTCCAGCACCGCACTCCCGGCGCTCGCACCGACAGGTACCGCGAATCGAAACCCACGTTACCAAAAACCACTCCTCCTATTGTTATCCCACCTGCTTCTCAACCAATTGACTCTCGACGGAGTGCATCTTCTTGTGAGGAGTGGAATCCACCCCAACTCCAATCAGTATCTGCAAAATACGGCAAAATAATAATACCCGCGCCTGCAGTTACCCTTCAATACCCCCAGCGCGGCACAAGACTCAAGTCAAACAACACAAGCCACGACCCGGCATATCCTCCCTCTCCTTGGCCTAATTGCCGCCAACTTCGCCAACAACCCAGAAGCAGCAAGACGAGGGCAGGAAGAGATCGGCGAAGAAACGATACAGCCCCACAACCGGTAACAGCTGGGCTGTTGCTCTCACGACGAAAAGCTTAAAACCCCTATAATGGTCAATGCGTGGAAGCCATAGCTGTTCGATTACAACGAAAGAATGTTGACGACTCCGCCAGGCGTTGCGTGAGAAGCGATTGATGCTTGGGCAGGCGCAACGGAAAGAAGGAAGCAATCAATCCGTCATGAATTGGGGGTGGTGATACGAACGCCCTCCTCCGCCATGTCGGCCTTCCACTGGCAAATCCCCCGTGAACAAAGCCTCTCCTCCGTAACGCCGTCTCCGTCCGTCCATCTGTTCGTCGACCCTAGGTCTTCTTCGTCTCCCTCAACTCATTCTATAAGGGTCGGGCCGGGCTGGGTGCAAAGGGGCACAGCTTTCGCAGCAGGTTCCGGTCTGACCCAACCGTCTCGGTACATGATAATGGTAGCTTGAGGCCTGATTCGGACGGCAGTTCCGGGCAGGTTCGGGCAGCCTGGGGGAGCAGTAAAATCCAAGTCACGGGCTGAGCCACGTGACCACATGTTGCAGACATCATCGAGTGCCATGTTTTTTTTACCAACTTTAAATCCGCATAGATCTTAATCTAGAAAAGTATGTGATTACTTTTAGAAAACTTCATTTGGAACCTTCGCATTCAATATATCTATTATGATATACTGGAGAACAGTATAAATTGTGTTTGAACAAAAGTGTGTGTATATATATATAAAGGGGATTGTTAAATAGATCCAAGCTTTTACTGAATTGATCCACCCATTTTAACCATCATGAAAAAGAAAAAAAATGACCCCTAAATTCATTTCTCCACTATTGGATTTGAAACCAATGAAAGCCAACCACATTCATCATGATTACCATATTTTTTTTATCACAAGTAGGTTAATTTAATAAAAGCCTAGGTCAAAGCAAGTCATTGGAGTATAATGATTTTTCTTTAAAACAATACAACATAGATGGCTATTGGAATATATGAACACAAAAAAAATATATCTTCTTTATTTATTTTTTTAATATATAAATTGAATCAAAGTAATGTATATAAATACTTGTTAGAAAATATTTATTTTATTACTTATTATAAATTAAAATCATATAATATAATTGTATCTTTTATAAGAATGTAGATTTTTATTTTTATCATAGAAATAATTATATAGTTCTATAGAAAAAGTCTTGTAGTTGAACAATAATTATACAATAAATATTTGAATTCTTTATTTTATTCCATAGTTTTATTATCAATAGAAAAATTATAATTTTTTAATTTAAAGTATTATTATTTTAATAGATTCTAAAATAAGAAATATAAATAAGTTATTTAAAAGTATATATATATATATATATTCAAGTTGTCATATTACGTGTTGTCATGCTTGAGAATGCACTAGGCACCTAGCTGTGGAAGGTGAGGTTATGTTTACAAACATCCAAAAAATCCTAATAGGTTTCACTCATATGAGAAGAATATAATTCAAATTCCAATTCAAAAGTGCTAAAAAAATACTCTTCTTAGTGGCTTCAATCACACATAAATCTCAATTACTTTGTTACTTTCATATTTAAGCAATTTAGACTTTTCTTATAAGTCCCAATCCTAATCAATGAACTTTAATAAGATGTAACTTCTAATCTGACCGTCCACTTGATGTAAAATTTTACAAGCAATTGTCAATATAATTGACAATTGCACTAATGTCACTTGGTCGCCAACTTAAAAAGTGAAGCAAAAATATTATTAGTGATTTTTCCTTCTCCAACTATTAACTTTGATTCAAAATTGGTGTGCAGCTTGACCTTCAAGTCCTTCAATACTATGCCAAATTTCACCTTGATCCGATTGATAGATCTCTAGATATCATAGAAACCCTACCCAACCCCGAACTGCCAACTTCCAAAATCCTCTTGTGCTAAAAACCAGATATCTCTAAACCACACCATTAGATTATAAAAAAAAAATGCACTTAGCACACCCAATAATCCAAAGAGTATGAAATTTTGAACTGTAGATGTTAGACCAATTGCACAAACTAGCCAAAATTGCTAGCTCTCATTATATTATATAGAATCCAAATCACTAATATAAACCCTAACTTTGAACAACAATTGCCAAGTTCTTAAAAATCCTACAAAAACAATCCTTATGCCTTTAGAAAGAGCTTCAAGCTAGCTCTCAAACCTTAACCTCCGATCTTCAAATGTCCTCCTAATTTGCCCTAGGTGGTCATTTTAGTGACAAGTGGTCTGATTTTGACCATGTCTCACAAATGGTCGACCCCAGGGTATCAATCTAACATATCCTAAGGATTTCTTAGTTCAATCCTACCCTCAACTTGACTCTAGTATCAATCATATCAACCATTTACCTCTTCTACCTTGCTTTTATTAATTTATGGCATTTCTAAGGCAGTAAAAGAGTTTCTATATCCTAGAAGGTAAAAAAACTAACTAACTTTTATCTATTTGCTATTAAGACAAGAAAATAGGCTAAGAGACTTTCATAAAAGCCTTATAAAAATATTTTGAATTCTTGTTGAACTAATATAATAGAGTATTAATTAAAAAATTATTTTTAGTCATATTTTTTTCATATAATCGTGTCACAACACAACAACATTATATACATAATAAATTTAATCTTTTTAGATGAATAAATTAAATAGTTTCAAATTTATTAAATATTAGTTTTCAAATTAGATACTTATTTAATATTTTTATTTTAAACTCAAATTATGTTTAAAGTAACACTATAGCACATTCATTGATTTTTTCTACTCATAAACTTGGTTGCTATAATATTTCACAACATATTTTAGTGATATTCTCTTGTAATTTTAGATACTAAACAAAGAATTATGGATAAATTTAATATTTTTGTTGTTATTAGTATTTTGGTTTGTGATTAAGAAGAAAGGTATTGTAATAGAAATTAGCAAAAGAAATTGTTAGTAGTTATAGAAGAGAATATGAAAGTGGTGCAAAACAACATAAAATGGTTATATAATAATAATGTCAATTTTAAATATAATAGTATTTTTTATATGTATTTATCTAAAATATTTATAGAAAATAGATGTAAAAAATTATAAAACATAATTATACAATTTTTTTGATGAAAATAAATATTTAATTCGTTTCTATTATTAAAAAATTAAAACCAGTAGCCTAATTTATTTAAAATAGCAATTTAAAATTATGATTTTTGTTTACTAATGAAATAATATATACTTAAGTTCTAATTGATGTTTATTTTATAAAAAAAGTATGTCTATTTTTATTTTTTTCAAAACATATTAGTATTTTATTTTTTAAAATATATTTTTTAGTATTATTGTGATTATTTCGAAAATTTTGAATATTTATTATTATTCATAAGTAGATGATTATTTCCATCAATAATACTAGTTGAAATATATCAACCAACAATTGTTGTATGAATCACATTGCAAATTATTTATAACAATATAGACACATTTTTTCACAAAAATAATATAAACTTGCAAAAATAATTTGAAAGATATTCATAATTATTATAGTAATTTAATAAAGAATGAAGAATTTATTTCTGAAAGATCTCACAAATATTATTATACAGCACATGTTAATTATTTAACATTGAAAATTAATTTGAAGTAGCTGTGTAGATATGTGGATATGTGGATATTGTAAAAGTAAATGTATGTTATAGTTGTTGTTATTTGTATAAATTTAAATTTTTTCTTTAAATGTATAGGTTTATGTGTAATTTAAAGGAAAAGTATACTACCAATTAATTAGTCATATAAACTTTGTGTTATTTTATAAAAAGCCATTAACCATTAATAAAAGAACCAAAGATTAATATTCTAAATGATTTTTTTAAAAAATGTGTGTATCTATATATATATATATATATATAATATTGTGATTTTTTCTTTTATAGATGTGATTATTTGTGTACTTAAATCTTTCATGATAGATGTATACATATAGGTTTTTAAGAATTTTTTTATTAGAACTATCTTGGTTCAATTTTGTATCCTTATTACAAAAAGGTTTCTGAGTTCTTGTTACTTTTTAAACATTAATGATGGAATTTGAGAAAAAATTAAAAAAAGTAGATTGAAGAAATTTAGAATTTTTCTAAAATTAAAATAAACACAAATAAATAAAAGATGATATATGAGTCAATTTGTTTTTGGTTTTATGACTAGTAGGATTTATTTGTTTAGTATTGAATATGAACACCTTGAGAAAGAAAGTATTTAACAAGTGGTTGTATGTAATAATCATTTACTTGTAAAACATCAACAAAGCAATTTGGATAGAGTGATATACACAAAATTATCAAATAAACAACATCTAGTACTATAAATGATTTATATGTAAGATTAAGATAATTTTATGTAAATTTATAGAATTGGGTTTAGATTGCTTAAACATGAATTAAAACAAAGTTGATAAACAAACAAAATATCTATGTATTGTAGTTAGCTAAATCATGTTGAACAATCTTTTGTTTTAATAAAAACAAAATTAAGATTTAAGATACATCTCTAATTGAGGACCTTATATTATTAGTAAATAATAATAGTTAGTTAAAATAAATATCATATAATTTTTAATTAATAAATTATAAAAAATAAAAAATAAAATTTATAATTTATAATTTATACACATTCTTTTAAAAGCCCTATATATATTAGAATGCAATATAAGCATACTTGTGAGAAAATGAGTTTTAGACATTAAAGCTACAACATATTTTATGGATGAAGATTTTGCTGAGTAACAAATCTCAGTACTTTTAAAAGTCTTTTGAAAACCTCTTAAATTTATTCATAAAAAACCTCTAACAAGAATAAATATGTTTAAAATTACTATCTTTGGAAGTAATGGCAATAAATGAAGTATAATGAATTGTTTACAACATCATCCAATATCCTTGAATTTTTATACAAATTGCAATTGAAATTGAAATTGAAATATAATATTATATATCTATTTATTTGAATTATAACATCTATTAATAGACTAATTAATACAAAGAATTTATTTTTTAAGATTTTTTTTAAAGAATAAAATCAGAAAAATAAAATAACAAAACAAAACAAAAAAAAAATCTTAGATGCTTAGAATTTAAAGTATTTGTACAAGAAATTTAATGTTTGTTATTTGTATTGTGACCATTTCTTGCATTCTTAATACATATGCACAAACACACATACATGCATGTTTAGCATATTTAAGTACGAAATATTTAAATAACATTCATGCCCTTTTATTGCAATTCTAATAACTTTGCGTAAAAAATATGAAATCATATTCTTTTGAAAAATGTCTTTTAAATATCTAACACATACTATTTTATTATTAAAATATACAATTAAAAATAAGAGAATAATAAACTATAAAAATATTAAGTTATAATTAATACTATGGAATATTAAAAGATAATTAACACTAATCCAATTATTGAGATAAGTGTTAATCATCATACCATAAATTTTTTATGAGATGAGTGTTAATCTATTTATTATGGTATAAACAATGGTAGTTCAAATTATATGTGTATATATATATATATATATATTTCTATAAATAATATTTTTATTTATAAAATATATTTTTTATTTAACCAAATCATTATAGAGATGAAAAGATTAAATATTTAATTTAATTTAATGTTTTTTATATGAAATATGTTACGACTAATTAAAATAATCTCAAGGTAGAATTGTGGTATTTATAAAATTTTAAAAATATTTTAGAAGTATTTAATCTTTAGATCATTATTTTGATAAATTATATTATATCATATTATTTATTTATTTTAATTTTCCTGTTATCTACTATCACAACTATATGAAAAATACATTAAAATTCTTTTAAATACAAATCAACAACAATAAAGTAAAACTAGAAAATGCCAATAATAGTTATTTTAGAATTGGAATTTTACATACATGTCACAATATATACCTATTAGAGTTTAATTTTTTTTAGTTTATTTAATTTAATTTAAAATAAATTAAATAACTTCATGTAATAGATACTTGTTGATTTGTATAATTACGAGTAAAATATAACTCTAAACCTCATATTCATATTAAAAAAATAGTTTAGAATGCCAGAGATCATAATTCACAATTTTATTGCCATTCGTCTATAAATTAACATATGAGCATAAAGAATCAACTAGTTAATATTGTGTGTAATGCAACATAAATCATCTGTTAAAAAAGTATGGAATATAATCTGTTCTATTCAATACACATCTTCATTATTTACTGATATTAATTAATATCTGCACACCATGTCTAACATTTTTTAACAAAAAGATGTCTAAGTTCTATAACAAAAAGATCTGATTGTGATAGAAAGTAAAATATTTTTTAAAAGACAACCTCCTAATTTTGTTGACTCTATTACTTTTACACATTTTACAGACCTGTTGACTTTGAGTGTTGTTGCCGATGCTGACAGGACTGAGAAAGTGCATCAAAAATTGACTGAATTTCTTTCAATAATTGATTCACTATGTTCATATGTTATTGCTGCAATTAGGTCTTCGTTATGAGTCATCCATTCAAGATTTCATCCCAAACGAATGAAAACTATACGGACGGAGACCCGAATACGACAACGTAGGAAGACACGGTAGATACTTGTATATGTAATGTACGAATATGAAGGGGAGGGGTATATATACGATGGCGTCCAGCAGCCAAGAACGGGACGCCTAATAAACTAAAGGCGAGAAGGAGGGCGGAAGCTTGAGTGAGAGGCCTGTACCAGCATCCATTTTGTTTGCTGATCGTTTCTCAAGGTTAGAATTACAAGTGAGATCTGGATTTCGTGCATGCGAGTTGAACTTTGAACGTGGATCGACAACAGAGGAAGAGATGATATATTGGCGGTAGGGTGATCAGTGTTTCGTACTCTTGGAATCTTTGGTGTGAATGTGAGTTTGTGGGGGTAGCCCAAAAATCATTCAAGAACTGCAAGGTTAGGGTATGTGAGGGCGGTGTCATGGAGATGTAGGCAGGTTAAGGATTAGTAGAGTGTTTTCTGTTTAGGACGGAAACGGTGGTCGTGTCGCTGCCGGTTTTTGTGCGGAGGTGCCGTGGGCTAAGGCCAGCGGCCGGTTTGTATTCCTCAAGGATGAGCATGAAGAGATCAAAAGTGTTGGCGAATTTTTCATCCCTTCGCGGTGAAGTGCTGAGCTCACAGAATCATGAACGGGGCTTCCCTATGGTCATCAAGGCACCGGCAGTCGCCCTGCAGTTGCTACGTGCATTGGCGCCGTCGGTTTTTCCAGGAACAAGATTTTGCAGGAGTATCTGTTCGGCTTCTGTATTGAGTGATAATATTCAACAGCCTAGACCAGCCGGTGTTTGGATGTGCAATCGAAGTGGTAGGAGAAGTGCCGACGCACCAGTGGACGCTGGTCAACTCAGAAGAATGTCAGAAGGTAATGTGGTTCTTTCTCTTATGGAGCTGCTGCATGTCAATGGTTCAGAATCTCTCGTGCCTATTGTCATCAGGTTCGGGCTTCGCTCTCCGACGCCTTTTCTCTTTTTGTCAAAATATTGTGCTGATTCTGTCTGTATGATTTATCGACAACTGTATTGCAATTCCAGACTCATGATTTCCTTCGCATCTTGATGCTTGATTACAGAATCGGGTGTTGCCATTGTGATTTGCGCCGCCATTGATGTTCATGTAGGGTCTCTGGTACTGCAGGAAATCCATTCAAAAATCTTGTAACAGAGTTGGCAGGGTCCAAAAGCAAATACTACAGTCTCGTGAAATTGGGAGACAAAAGATTGGGTATGTGCTCGAGAAACCACTCCCATTCAAAGACGAATTTTTGTAGAGGCTGGATGATTAACTTCGTTTTTTCCTTGGATTTGACTCACTGAAATGGGGTTTGTGACTCAAAGTAAATGTAAATGTAATACAGCTTCTAGTCGCCTTTCCATTGTTTTGACAACCGTCGTTCCGGCTGCATTCATCAATTTATGTTGCAGACATGGATATGGTGCTTCATTGCGTTCATATTTCCTTGTCCGTTCTTCCTCCGTTCAGATACTCTGCCGTACTCAATAAGGATTCTCCTGGAGTCTGCAATCCGCAATTGCGACAATTTTCATGTCATGAAAGCTGATGTGGAGAAAATTATAGACTGGGAGAAAACATCATCAAAGCAAGTTGAAATACCTTTCAAGCCTGCCAGGGTCATTTTGCAGGTCTGTAGGACATTTTGATCCAGCAGCTATTCTTTGTGTCTAATGATCTATTCCGTTTTTAGTTAGATCTATGCACTGTTAAGTCCGAGGAATGTCTTGTTCGAAGATACAGTTGTGATGTTGATGAGGACAGGGAGTCATGAATCGTTAAACTTTGAACTTCACATGAGGGAGACTCTCTGACTAATTATGCTTTGTGTAAGATTCACGCGCCTCCTTGCTTGATCAACATTTGACTAATTGAGAGACACGTAAAACCTAAATTGAAGTCATTTACGTCTCATGATCATGATAGGAAATTTGTAGATGCAATTTCCTGGTTAACCTTCGGGTTGATGCATCATCAGGACTTCACAGGGGTACCGTGCGTTGTGGATTTAGCTGCGATGCGGGATGCGATTAAGCGCTTGGGTGGTGACCCCAGCAAAATTAATCCCCTGGTATGTGGGTTAATTGGAATCCAAAATTCAATCTAGAGATGAAAACATCTGAATGATCAGAAAGTATGCGAGTTTCAACGTGGTCAGTGCAGAGAAGCCAGAAGGCCGATGCACAGAAGGAATCTTCACATAATCTACAAAGATATCCTCATTTAAAATCTTGTTGATTTGATTATTTTCCTTCGTGTCGTGTACCACATATCTTCCGAAATTATCTGAAAAATTCCTCTGCATCACTCAAGTATGATACTAAAGGAACTCAAAATTTTATAATGTGCAGGTGCCTGTGGACTTGGTCATCGATCACTCTGTGCAGGTTGATGTTGCCCGTAAAGCAAATGCACTTCAAGTTAACATGAAATTAGAGTTCCAGCGTAATAAGGAACGTTTCGCCTTCCTTAAATGGGGATCAACTGCTTTCAAGAACATGCTTGTGGTTCCCCCAGGGTCTGGGATTGTCCATCAGGTTTGAATCTGGTGACCACATCCACCTTATCCGGAAAATTATAATGTACAAACCACCATATTTTAATGTACCAGCATGTGCCTATATTTAGGTAATTCTACGTACATAATGAAACAGGTAACACCGCACGTCTTCTATTGTGAAGCGCGTCTGTTGGAAATGTTTTTGTAGTAGAGCAAAAATGAAACAATTTTGATCAATCTTCTGAAACTATTGCAGGTGAATCTCGAGTACCTTGCCAGGGTGGTCTTCAACAGTGAGGGGTACCTTTACCCGGACAGTGTCGTGGGAACAGATTCTCATACCACGATGATAGACGGACTTGGTGTTGCAGGATGGGGAGTTGGAGGTATTGAAGCTGAAGCTGTTATGCTTGGCCAGGTTAGTACCTCTCTACTAATTCATACGACATGGTGAGCGCCACGTTGAGAGTAATCTTGGAACTTGAATCCATGGCAGCCAACGTATAACATTATGCTAATGAGATCATAGTGAAGTTTGGCGGTATACTCTTTGCAAATTGCTTTCCCATCTATTAAACACAGTTTTGATGTGTGCGAGTTTCAATGTTTTTGCAGCCAATGAGCATGGTTTTGCCACTTGTAGTAGGCTTTAAGTTGTCCGGCAAAATGAAAACTGGAGTAACAGCCACGGATCTAGTGCTAACAGTGACACAGATGTTACGGAAGCATGGAGTCGTTGGAAAATTCGTAGAGTTTTATGGTTAGTGGCCTAATTCTCACTATCTGCCATCATACTAATCATAACTAAATCTCTTTTGTTGCAATGCTAGCCATTGTTCCATCACTGAATGATTGCTTACCAGAAGACCAATTTTGCAAGTTACAGAAATAATTTCATGGATACCTGCTTCTTGTGTGCAGGTAAAGGCATGGCTGAATTGTCGTTGGCAGATCGAGCAACAATTGCAAATATGGCTCCTGAGTATGGAGCCACTATGGGGTTTTTTCCAGTTGATAAAATCACACTCGATTACTTGACGTTGACGGGTCGTGAGGGAAAAAAAGTATGTTGTCACTAGCTCCTGCTCTATTGCATAAACATTTTGTAAATTTATTCAAGGTTGCTATGAGACTCCGATTTCGAGATTAAATTCAACTAGATCCTTGATTGTGTGCATTTTTCTGGGTGTTTGGTGTGCTTTCATTTACAATTCATTACTGGTGCACCTACCATTGATAAATGCACCATCATTTGTAATCTCAAATTTCATGTTCATTACGATATCTCTCTAAATGCTCTTGTCTCTGTACCTGGTTTTTCTTCTTCACTTATGGCAGGTTAAAGAGATTGAAGGGTACCTACGGGCAAATAATATGTTTATTGATCACAGCAAGGTATAATGGTTTTATATTCTGATGGTATTTATAACTGTAGGAGTGTGCGACTTTACCTACTTAAACTTCAGCGTATATGTTAAATCATGTTCTTGTCTGAGATAACGCATTTCTGCGCTTGAAGACTTGCAGTAGCTTCATATTTTTTTATCGAGATAGATAGTCAATTGATCACTTTTTTTGGCTTAATAATATAGTTTAGAGATAGGTTTTGTGAAGTAATGAATTCACTCATCATCATTCCCTGAAAATTTATGAAATCCAGCCACCAAAGGACAATAAATACTCATCGCATTTGGAGCTCGATCTGAACACTGTTGAACCTTGCATTTCTGGGCCTAAGCGGTATGTATGCTGAAGATCCTTTTGTGTTAGATAATGAGAGAAAGTTAGAATATTTCTGCAGAAGTCATTTGAAGATTTCTTTGAGGAGTTCAGTTGTTTTTCAACCATAGCCAGTCGTGCAGTCTGTCTAACCGCAATATTCAACTCTGTGCAGCCCTCACGATAGAGTAAATCTCAGAGAGATGAAGAAGGACTGGAAAGATTGTTTAAACAACAAAGTTGGATTCAAGGTAACCACAGGACCAAGACCAGTGGGTTTTTCAAATACTGTTTCACTAAACTCTGCTATGCTAGTAGCATTCCACCATCAAATGTTGGTTTCTCTGAATGTTTCAGGTTCATTGATAACAGCCTCTGCTGTCCTGCAGGGGTTTGCGATTCCTAAAGATAAACAGAGTAAGGTTGCGAAATTTTCTTATGAAGGCAAGGCAGCAGAATTAAGACATGGCAGCGTGGTCATTGCAGCAATTACAAGTTGCACCAATACCTCTAACCCTAGCGTGATGATAGGAGCTGGGCTTGTAGCCAAAAAGGGAACTGAATTGGGATTGGAGGTCAGCTCTTCCTTTAAAATTAAGATTTTTATTTGAAGGTTTGGATATACGATGTTACCAAAGAGACCTTGAGAAATCTTTTGCGTCTGATTCAAGTCACATATTTGTGCTTAGTAAAGTGGTGGTTCTGAAGTATGAATGTCTCTGGAATTTGATACGTTTCGTGCATGTGTGTGATCTTATAGGTGAAGCCTTGGGTAAAGACTAGTCTAGCACCAGGATCTGGAGTGGTCACCAAGTACTTAGCGAAAAGGTACATATGCATCCACTGAACTAAATCAACAGATCGGTGCAAGAGCCGCAGCTCTTAAATGAGTTGATTACCATTACTCATTTTGCTTCTATTTAGTATCTCTCTCTGTGACAATGTCATTCCCTTCTTCATCCTCCGGTTAGGATTCACCCAATCATTTACACATCACATGTGCAACTTGTATACTGATGCAGTGGTTTAACGAAGTACATGGATCAACAAGGCTTTGGTACAGTGGGATATGGGTGTACCACGTGCATAGGCAATTCTGGCGAGCTTCATGAAGATGTTTCCAAAGCGATTACAGAAAACGGTAACTTTGTCTGCTGTTTCTGGGTATGTTGACGAGTGTGTTCGAAAGAGATTCGAAGGGGACACGAATGAAATGACATGAACCAGGAGTGGAACAAAGTGTGTAAGCAATCACGTGTGGGAGTAGTAATTGCTGACGAGGATGTTGTATGATGTTGCAAAAGTGCAAGGAATTTGCAAGTCGTCCGTTCAATGCAGGATGTGTAATACCCATAGAGGTGGTGTTTGTAGACATTGTGGCGGCAGCTGTACTGTCGGGAAATCGAAACTTTGAGGGGAGAGTGCATCCCTTGACGCGTGCCAATTACCTGGCATCCCCTCCTCTGGTGGTTGCGTATGCGTTTGCTGGAACGGTATGTGGCAGTCCAGTCGTTGCTTCTTTAATGAATCATATGAATTTCAATTCAAAATGTTGCTGTCCTGCTGATCTGTATCTTAGCTTCGTCTCCGAGATGTAGAACTGTTGTGCATGATTATTTTCTGCTCGGACTTCCCTCATCAGGTCGACATTGACTTCGCTAAGGAGCCTATTGGAAAAAGCAAAGGCGGAAAAGATGTATTTCTGAAGGATGTTTGGCCTTCAAATGAGGAGATTGCAAAGGTGCAGTGAAACAACATCTTTCTGCGGCTAGTTGTAAATAAGCAACTATTCATTGTTGATTACCTCTTGTGTTTTTGAATCGCTATCGTGTGAAACGGCTCATTTTACAGCTACTTCTTAGTTGATAGTTGGGTTGCGCAGGTTGTTCAATCATCAGTGCTTCCGGATATGTTCACATCGACCTACCAGGCCATCACGAAGGGTAACCAGACGTGGAACAGCCTACCTGCGCCTTCAGGTTCTCAGTACGCTTGGGACTCAAAATCAACTTATGTCCACGAACCACCCTTCTTTCAGAACATGCCCAAAGCTCCTCCTGGTGGGAAGCCTGTGAAAGCTGCTTACTGCCTTCTCAATTTTGGAGACAGTATCACCACGGACCACATATCTCCAGCCGGTAACATTAACAAGGACAGCCCAGCTGCCAAGTTTCTTATGGACAGAGGAGTGCAAAAGAAGGATTTCAACTCCTACGGAAGTAGACGTGGTAATGATGAAATTATGGCTAGGGGGACCTTTGCCAATATTCGGATCGTCAACAAATTTTTGGGAGGAGAAGTAGGGCCGAAAACAATACATGTTCCCTCCAAAGAAAGACTTTTCATTTTTGACGCAGCCAAGGTACGAAAACATCGCTAATAGAGTGAGATAGTTCGAAACGTTTGTTTTCTTGCACTTCGGATCAAGCGGCAGTGTTTTGTACACTTTTGATCACACGTGAAGAGGTCTGACTACAACCAAATGTGGCTTACTTTTTCAGAAGTACAAAGATGAAGGTCATGATACAATAATTTTGGCGGGAGCAGAGTATGGGAGTGGTAGTTCGCGTGATTGGGCTGCTAAGGGTCCCTACCTGCAGGTTTACAAGCATTCCTATCTCATAACAAATATCTTGTTAACTTGAGGCTCTCACTAGTATTTTATTTTCAAATTTCTGGTTCTAGAGTTCTTTTTTCTGTTGTTCTATTTCAACAGTAAATTGACCATTCGAGTCATACATGCATCACACCGGGAGAAATACCTTAGTCTTCGGATGTAGAATAAAAGCCCCGAACTATGACTAATGTTGCTTATTCCTGATGAACAGGGAGTCAAGGCCGTCATATCAAAAAGCTTTGAACGCATTCATCGCAGTAACCTAGTAGGAATGGGTCTTATCCCACTATGTTTTAAGCAAGGGCAGGATGCAGACTCTTTGGGATTGACTGGTTATGAGAGATATACTATTGAAATGCCAACTGATATGAAGCAAATCAAACCTGGAATGGATGTCAATGTAACGACTGATGATGGGAAATCGTTCAAGTGCACGCTTCGATTTGATACCCAAGTAAGTTTTCCTACTCATAGAAGTGAAGGTGACAAAACCTTACAGTTGAAAGCATTTACTCAATCATTCTCTATGTCTTATCACATTCAACAAACCTAATATTTGTGCAGTCCTAAAAATAGGTAGTCAATTATTTACAATACTCTTACTGAAGACTACTAGTTTACGACTCTCGTGATTTTCATCACAGAAAATAGCAAATAGTGTGCAAACCGTAAACAAGTACTTTGCTACTTGACCATCCAACTATCCGTTACTAATCAATCAACTTTTTGATTGGTGCAAGGCACTCAAAATGTGTAGTTTGAAGTTAGTATCACGCTTGTTAACTCAACCACTGTTCTACCTTTCTACATTTGAAGTAAGGAATCCAAAATTTGAGATTAGGGCGTTGATTTGTTAATTTTATTCAGTACGATTTGAAGCTAAGCCACAACACTGCATCAGGAGCAACAAGCGGCACTTGGGCCTTTTTAAATCTAAAATACTGTGCTTGAGAAGGCTGTATTTTGCCAGGCCTTCGAAATTTTGTGCGTCCGCGGTCCAATCTATTTCTTATTCTTTGACCTTGTGGAATAACTTTCACTGTGACAGGTCGAGCTGACATACTACATGCACGGAGGCATTCTTCACTATGTGCTACGCCAGCTTGCGGCAAAGTAGACTTGGAGTTGAATCACTATGTGCTACTTTGGCATGCAACTGAATTATCGCATTGCGCGGACTCAGTTTCCTCCATCCAGTCGTTCGCAAGGTCTTTGCTTCAGCACTTTCCCAGTGTTCCTTTGCATTAAAGGACTAATTTCACGGGAACTCTTTGAAAGGGAAAATGGAAAATGGAAAATGGTTGAAATGAAGTAGCTCAGCACAACTTCTGGAGCTCTGGATCTTCAGGCGTTTGAAATCTGGATGCAACAAAGGCTCTTGGATATGATGATCAAACCTCGCTGTAGTTTGCGTTTTTCTTTCCCACCGCTATTCACCGGAGTCTCGTTTCACAAGGCTTGGACTCGTCGAATGGTCTCCTCTTGGAGACTGCAAAGTTGTTGAAATCATGTGTCTCCATGCTGTAACACAGAAACAGTGAGAAATGTTGTAGTTTGGGGATATGCCTGGATTTTTCCATCTGTCGAATCGTAACTCTATCTTGGCACCCAAGCAGACTCCTCTGCCTTGTTTGACAAGAATTTCCTCATGTATGTGTAGAAGTCTTTTGATGATCCCCTTTTAAATAAATATGTGAAGTTAATGTTGTGCATTTCCTCTTGGGGAGTGTACATGCCACCAAGAAGGCAAATGAAATTCTGAGGTGATCCTTTGTAAAAAGACATGGAAAATTTTATTTTGTCTTTATACATATCTATTATATCGAACAATATTTTATTTAGAAGTATTAGTCCAAAGTTGCAGATTATTAAATATAGTGGTTGATAAAAGCAATTTAGTATTGTCTAAGACAATAGAATTATATGAGACCATTTTTTGTCTTTTATTCTAATTAGTCTTGCTTTTGCTAGATATCTCTATGTATTTGGAGTTATTTCTATTTTTTTTTTGTTTTGGTGGTGTATGTGTGATTGTTTCATCCATCTACTTTCTAATTGTGATAGGTATTAAGTTATAACTCAATCCATATTTTCATTTGTGCTTTTGAGGTGTATTTTCCAACATAGCCAGTTGCACTTTAAAGATGCATAATCATTATTATAAGTATGTTAGTGCATACATAGTTAATATAGATTTGAGACTGCACAATATGTTATACACATAGTATATTGGTGCATGACATAGTGTAATGGTCCAAGTTTTAGTTACTACTTGCTACTGAAGTTACTAAATAGAAAAAAAATCTTTAATATTTTAAAGTAAGTTTCTTGATAAAAGCTTGATATTTAAGTTACTATTTTTTGAAAACTTCTTTATAAAACTTGATTTCTAATTTATTTAAAAAAATAAAAAATTTATTAGTACTTATTGAAATAATATATAACCATTAAAATTACATAGAAGAATTTAAAAGAATTAAATATTATATTTTTATAAAAATAAATAATATAAGTTTTAAATTCTTAAAATAATTTAAATATTAAATTTATTTATTTATTTATTTAAATAAAATCTTACAAAAGTTTATTTCTATTATATTTATTTTCTAATTTATTTTTTTAGTCTTAGTATTTTTATCAATTATATAAATTAAAAGTTAATTATATCAATTTAATAATTTTATATCATGTATTAAAAAATTATTTTAAAATATGATTACTTCTTTAAAAGACAATGTTCTAAATTTGATATAAGAGCTATAATTTTATTTTATCAAGTTCTATATTTTAAGTTTTTAAAAATATTTAATTATCTTGATTTGAAAATATTTCTAAACTATAAGAGAACTACAACTATTAATCTCTATTAGTTTAAAATTAAGTAAGGAATAAATAAAAATTCCTCTAAAATATTCTTATTTTAAATATTATTAATTTTTACAAAATACAATTGATATCCATAAAAACATAGAAGTTGATACCCTAAAATATAAGAACCAATCATCTATATTGTATAAAAAAAAAATTTCTTTTCTTCAATATAAGTTTATATATATATATATATATATATATATATATATATATATATATATATATATATATATAGAAATGATAAAGTGATTCAAATTTTTACTAAAAAAATCTATTCATTATTACAATCATAAAAAAATAATTACTTCTAAATTTATTTCTCTATTCTTAGAACTGCAACCAATAAAAAGAAAATATATTCATTTATAATCATGATAATGTAATCTTTATTGCTACCATCGATAATTATTAGCCACAATAGTCTTTAATTATAGAATCATAATTATTTGTTTAAAGAAAGAAGGACCTATAATAGATTCATCTCATTGCTCCATGCCTCATTGGGATGAAGGCTATGTTCATCTTCTTTTCTTTGCTACCTTTCTTTCTTTGCATAGCTTCCTTGCCACTTTCATACTTCAATATAAGATCTCAAAACTATGTTGCAAATTTTTTTGCAATGATTGTTGCAAAGACTGGCTTTTGGTATTTATACAAGGTCAATGATAGCTTGAGGCTTGCCAATTGCTATTGAATTTAACTAGGAGTTTTAATATACGATTAATCATGTAGTTCATAAACTAGCAACTATTGTTTTATAATACCCATATACTGGTTAGTGAGCTTCTTTCCCAAGTCTCCAATAATATATTTTTGTAGAGATTGACTAGATAGTAGTTGTTACAATTTTGATTTGTATCTTTTTTCATCCTAAAATTGAGATTTTGGGATTGTGGATTGAGAATATAGAATCATTGTTGTAGCAATTATATGCTTTCTCTCTATATCTCTCTCTCTCTCTCTCTCTCTCTCTCTCTCTCTCTAAGGTACAATGTGTGGTGGCTGGCTGTGTGCATTGCTTCAAAATATGAAAGGTGGATGGATTGTAATAGGATATAGATAAGATATTTGTATTGCTGACATATAAGGATAGATAGTTGGAACCATATTTGAAAAGTTATGGAAGTTTCTAGAATTAAAGCTAGGTTAGTGGATCATATAAGATCTATCATGGAATATTCTAAAAATAACTTAAGATACTTATTTAGGTAGGATCTATCATAGAACCTTCTAGAAAAGGCCTAGGACAGTTATTTAGATAAGATCTACCATGGAACATTCTAGAATGAGTTTAGGATAGTTATCTAAGTGAGGTCTAACATCTAGGAACATTCTAAAAAATCCAAGGTGATAGAACAAATATAAATAGGACTGACTAAGATCTTTTTGGACATCTAGTCAAGTATGGCTTTGAAACTTCTTTCTTAATAAAGTTTGATTTTGCATCTTCCTATTCAATTCAATTCTGTTTTGTTTTATTTCCATTTGCATAGTTTTGTCTTTTGTGTCATATTCTATTTAGTTTTGTTCTTGTCCATTTTGTCTTACTTTGTAATGAGGTTTTTATGTTGTTGTGGATTAAAAGAGTCTTAGACTCTTAAGATAGACTAGTCCTATTTTATTAGTATCAGAGTGAGTGTTGGATTGTCTTGGTAGTGTGTTGATAGCTATCATCTAGTTCAAGGTCAATTGTTGTAATTACACTAAATATTGTATTGAAGCTACCACGAGCTATTCTTTAAAAGTCAATTGGAAGATGAGAAGGCATTACAATAGTAGACTCAAGCAAGAAAATTACAACATGGAAGATATGGCAGAGCAATCCCAGATGGAGGCTCAAATATAACACATCTTAAGCTAGATAGCTACTTTACAAGGGCAAATAGAAGTATCTAAGATAAGAGAATCAACATCTACTAAGTTGAAATTGAGTAAGCTTAATACATATTCTAGAATTTTAATACAAGAAAATATATGTCAATGGCTCTTTAACATGCAATAATACCTCCAATTATTTGAGGCAAATACCATTGAAGGAATTATATATGTAGCCAGCTATTTGAAAGATATGGCAGCCATTTACTAGCAACATCGAGTTGAAAGCTATAGAGCTTAAGATGGATTTTGTGATTGAGAGAAGTTTGTGATTGAGTTTAGGAATCAATTTTGATCCATCAATGCAAAAAAGATAGCATGTGATTGATTGACAAATCTTATATAATCTAGGTCGGTGCAAGTTTATGTCTCCTAGTTCAAGTCCTATATCTCCAAATTAACAATGTTTCAAAGGCAAAGATGATAGATTTATTTCTATGAGGTTTGAAACCTGGGGTCTAGCAAAAGGTAGAACTAAGGAATCCACAAACGTTTAAAGAGGCAATTATGAATGTAGAGATGGTTGATACTATAGATTTCAAAAATTATAGAGTACAACTTATTGTCACGGCCATAATCATGTAAGCTAATAATTACATATATAAATAGGTAGAAGTAAGTTAATTCTATAATATTTAATATAAAAGCTTCCTAGAAACTTCTTAGATACTGCTTTGACTTCATAGGTGTCTTTAATTGACTTTTTGGATTAGAAACGTGGTCAACAAGTTGGCCATGTGCCACACATGTTGTTAGCTTGAAGATCAAGCTAACTATGTGGCCCACACGTAGAAAAACTTGCCTTGTAAGTCAAGGCATGTGTCTTACAAAGTCAACACATATTGGAGGTCCTATAGAACGTCGCCACGTAGCCCCTAGTTAGATAGTATATATAGAGACAAGAGTGAAGGCTTCTTCACTCTTGTCAATTCCTTTCTTGCTTCTAGTCTAGTTTCAAGGGTCTCTAGTTTTTTGGTCTTTTGGCAATAGCCATTCTAGTTTCTCTTTTCAATATACATACTTATTATTCATATTTTGTTACTTTTCTTTGAGTGAAGGCTTACTTGTTTGAACTATTTTTTCATCGAGTTCTTGTCCTTGACAGATTGACAAGAGTGTACTTACAATATCAGAGCTTTGTTTTTCTTGAGTAAGAGTGGATTACCCCTTTCTCTTGACAAGGCATAAGCGTATTAGAAGTTTGCGGATTACCCACTTCTAAACTGATATTGTTCTTAGTATCTTCTTTGTTATCAAGTCTTTCTTTTCTTTTGTCTTGAGCAGTATCAAACAAATTTTTCTTCTTAGTGTCATTATGGCAGAGCTTGTTGAAATGAAGAGTGCAATGGCACAAATGCAAGAGCAAATGAGGGAGTTAATGCTTGCGATGCATCAACTCAATTCACCAACACAGGAAAGAATAAGAATAGCAGAAAGTGGGGATATAAAGATGATCGAAGCTGCTTCAACATCTACAATAAATCACGTTCATTCTCCAATTGTACAACACCCTATAAGTACTAGAGAACCAAGAATTGCCTTATCTAAGAAATTTGATGGTACGAGATCAAAGTTTCGAGGGTTCATCAATCAAGTACAATTGGCAATTGAACTTCAACCGCAAAGCTATCCAACTCCAGGATCACAAGTCAGGTTTATTGACACTCTACTTTCTGGTTCTGCATTATCGTGGTTTTTATCTTTTCTTGAACAACGAAATCCAATATTGGACAATTTGGAAGCTTTTTTGGCGGAGTTTCGATCTATGTATGGTGAACACGATGCAACTCGTGTTGCAACAAATAAGATCCGAATTCTTTGACAAGGAAACCGCTCAGTAACAATGTATGCTTCACAATTTCAACAACTTGCAATTGACATCAAGTGGGATGGTGCTGCACTCATCAGTCAATTTCTTTATGGATTGTAATACGAAGTAAAGAAATTGATGCTCAACTTACCTGATCCTCAAACTTTGAGTCAAGTAATTGATTTTGCGGTAAAATGTGATAATCGACTTTTCGAATTTCGATCTGAGAATCATTCACGGGAACCTCAACGTTATTACTCAATGGCAACATCAACATCTTTGCCAAACGTACATTCGGAAGTAGAAGACATGTAAAT